AAATGGGCTCTCACGATGTTGTCCAGGCTAGATGCAGTGGTGTCATCATAGTTCACTGTAATCTCAAACTCCTGGGCTTAAGAGATCCTCCTGCCTCAGCCTCCCGAGTAGCTGGGACTACCGGCATGCACCACCGCACCCGAATAATTTTTTTTTTTCTATTTTTCGTTGCCCAGCTAATTTTTTCTATTTTTAGTAGAGATGGGGTCTCACTCTTGTTCAGGCTGGTGTTGAACTCCTGGCCTCAAGCAATCCTCCCACCTTAGCCTCTCAGAGTGCTAGGATTACAGGCATGAGCCACCACGCCCAGCCTGAGCTCAGGCACTTTAAAGACTGAAAAAGAGGAATGCTTTTCTTTGGGAGAGACATCTCATTTGGCCAGATATGGTGGCATGTGCCTATAATCCCAGCTACCAGAGAAACTGAGGCCGGAGGATTGCTTGAGGAGTTCGAGAACAGCCTGGGCAACATAGACCCCACATGAATGAATGAATGAGTGAATGAGCAAGCCACAAGCCAAGGAAAATGAGTGGCCACTCACTAAAAGCTGAAAAAAGCAAGGAAACAGATTTGCCCCTCAGAGTCTTCCAGAAGGAAGCAGTTCTGCTCTGCTTGACTGCCGAAACGATTTTGAACTTCTGACCTCCAGAACTGTAAAAGAATAAATTTGTGACAATTTGTTATAGCAGCATTGCACAGATGCACCAGAACTGTAGAAACCAAGTGGACTGGAAAAGAGGCCATCTCAGAGGTGACCAGTGTGACCTGTCGACTATCACTCGAATACCTTGGTGCTATGAACAGCCACGGACCTTGGCAAACGCTGAGCTCTGCTTTGGTTATCCACTGCTACGCAACAGACCCCCAAACCTGGTGTCTTGAAACAACAGCAATCGTCTTACTATCTCTTACAGTTCCACGAGTCAGGAATTGAGGTGTGAGCCGCCACACCTGCCCGGTAGTCCTTTTCAACTTTTGCATTTATGCACATTTTATACAGTTGTAGAACTATACTTTTTAAAAAGTGATATTTTCTATAATTTTCTGCAATTTGCTTTTTAATCTTTGTTATATAAGCAGTATGTGTACATTTTTGAAAGATCATGTGGATAAGCAAAAGAAAGACACTTTCTTCCCATCCTTTGAGATAACCGTTGCTGACACCTTATCGGATATCTCCCAGTTCTTTTTCAAAGCAGATGTATCTACATAGCACGAGTTATTGAACAGTGGCTAAAACAACCACCATTTTACGTGCTGGTAATTCTGAGTCAGCATGTTGGGTCGGGCTCTGCTGGGTGGTTCTGCTAGTCTTGCCTAGGGTCGTTCACGTGGCTGGCTGGCCTAAGGTGGCCTCACTTGCACAGCTGCCTCTTGCAAGGCTGGGCCTCTATGTATCCTCAGGGAGGTTAGCCCTGGCTTCTTCACACGGCTGCAGCAGTGTCCCGAGAGGACGAGAACGGCAGCTGCACAAGGCCCAAGCTGGGGTGATCCACGTACATCACTATGCCACATTCTATTGGTCAAAACAAGGCAAAAGGGGTGGAATCTTTGATTCCACTCTTGGAACAATGTGAAGGGGCTAGTGCAATGGTTCTCCAAGTAGGATCCAGGGATCCTTAGATGTCCCCAGGATCCTCAAAAAGGATCCACAAAGTCAAAACATCTTGTGATACTATTACTATTAAGATACTCTTTTAACTCTCATGAATGTAGAATGGAGTTTCCCAGAAGTGTAATATATAACATGTGATGTTGTAACGTATTAAATGCAGAAGCAGATGCGAGAATCTATTAAGCCAGATATTAAAAGAGATTTAGGCTGGGTGTGGTGGCTCCCGCCTGTAATCCTAGCACTTTGAGAGGCAGAGGTGGGAGGGTCGTTTGAAGCAAGGAGTTTAAGACCAGCCTGGGCAACATAGTGAAATTCTGTCGCCCACCAAAAATGAAAAACATTAGCCGGGAGTGGGAAGCATGCACCTGTAGTCCCAGCTACTCAGGAGTCTGAGGTGGGAAGATTGTTTGAGCCCAGGAGTTGCAGTGAGCTGGGCTACGGTGCTTCAGCCTGGGCTACAAAGTGAGACCCTGCTTCCCCTCCCCTCAAAAAAGATTTGCAGAAATGTAAATAAAACAAGCCATTCTTCTCATAAACATCCTTTTTTTTTTGCTGTGGGAAAGCTTTTTTTCATAACATGGTATTTATATAAATATGGAATATCATTCTAATAATTAAAAACAAAGGCGGGCGCGGTGGCTCACGCCTGTAATCCTAGCACTCTGGGAGGCCAAGGGGGGTGGATTGCTCAAGGTCAGGAGTTCGAAACCAGCCTGAGCCAGAGCGAGACCCTATCTCTACTAAAAATAGAAAGAAAGTAATTGGACAACTAAAAATATATAGAAAAAAATTAGCCGGGCACGGTGGCGCATGCCTGTAGTCCCAGCTACTCGGGAGGCTGAGGCAGAAGGATCACTTGAGCCCGGAGTTTGAGGTTGCTGTGAGCTAGGCTGATGCCACGGCACTCTAGCCCGGGCAACACAGTGAGACTCTGTCTCAAAAAAAAAAAAACAAAACAAAACATGATGAAAACCCAAATATCCATAGAACAGAGTACCATGTAGCAGATGAACTCTTTCTATAGAATGATCAAAATACATCAACTATGTAGCAATATATACAGTACCCAAGTGTTTTGGTTAAGGAAAGGGGCGAGTAACCAATTATACTCATTTGCCATATGTTTAGAGACTCCAGATGTACAAGTAATAGCAGTCAGGCCTGGTGCTGCGAACCTGTAATGCCAGCTACTTGGGAGACTGAGGCCGGAGGATCACTTGAGCCCAGGAGTACTGGGCTACAACGTGTTATGCCTGTGAATAGCCACTGCACCCAGCCTGGGCAACCCAGCAAGACCTCTCATTCTTACTACAGAAAAAACAACAACAAAAAAAACCACCAATGATCATGGGGTATAAGAATTTGTGGTCTGAGGGAGCCACAGTTGTTTCTCACCCATGCGTAGTTTGGTAGGATGAGTGGGAAAATGCCACTATTTTGTACTGGTAGAGGGTGGGTAAAAAAGCTGAGA